GAAGAAAGAAGGATGTATTTTGAACATGTCAAATCACGCTTCTCTATTTAGAAACAGGCTATTTAAAAATGAACAAACAAACAAACAAGTAAACAAAACTACCCTGGAACTGGACATCATATTCCTTGATCTCTCTAAAAAAAGACAGGTCTGGAAGTTTGTCAGCCCAGTGCAGCAATAGCTTTTCTTTATAAATAGGCTATTTTGGTTTGCTTTTTTGTTTGTTTTGTTTTGTTTGTTTGTTTTTTGTTTTTTGTTCTTTTTTTTTTTTTTTTTTATTCCTAAGCAATCACATAGCTTTGTGAGACTATACTCAACAATTAATTTAATAGGAGTATTGGTAGAAATCATGTTATGCATTGTCTTGCAGGAGTGACTTCTTCAATTTTGCATTTATTATTTTTGTGAGTGGAGTAACTGCTTTGTATTTCCTTCCACATATGAAATATTTACTAGTAAATATTGCACTGCACAAATTAATGCTCTTTGATTTCTTTCTGGGCATCCTCCTTTTTTCAGCATTAATTCTTAGACTCACAGCAAACAATCTCAGTAGTTTTCATGTCTCATTTGGAGAAATACTTGCCTTTGGCAAAAGACATGAAAGCCTGAGTGCTACACAAAAGACAGTTTATGATAAATCTTCATTTTAAGCCAGAGCTAAAAGGGGAACCGCGCTGATAGCTGTTGTCCTTCAGGTGGAACAGGAAAAATCCTACCTCTGTTGGGTCTTCAAATCTTGCAGAAAACATCCCAAGATTACCTGTTACTGTGGCTTAGTTGTAATTTTATAATCTCATCTTGAGTAAATAACAGCTTGTCTTGGTGTGTTCCCAGGAGCAGGACAAGGAGACAGGAACTTCTTCCCTGCTTAATCGTGGGTCAGCAAAATAACCTGAGCTGCCAGTCAGAAGGATCTTGGGATCAAGCTGTTGTCCTCCAAACCCCAATGTCACTGACTAATCACTTGCTGCCTGTAATGTATCAATGACTATGCACTGGGGTATTTTTTTATTCCTGGCTTTCTCTGTCCTCCTGCTCCTTATCTATGAGGAGCTTCAGCCAAGCTAACCAAAGCCCTGGTGTTTCAGGGATTAATTCCCAGAAAAAACTCAGAGAGGAACTATGAGCTGGGAGCTGATTAAATGCATCTGAACTCAGCCCTGTTGATACTCCCGGCTGGATGAGAAAGACAGCAGGCTTTGCTGAAGTAAGTCTAAGATGAGGGGCTCTGGCCAAAATGTACAGCCACGCTTGATATTTTAAGTGAAGTTTTTTGCTACTTCAGCCTTTGTCCAGCTGCAAGCCATGAAAGGCAACTACAGGCTGTTGTTCATAGGTAACAATTTGGCTCTAACTTTAAATCCTTTCAATGAAATCCTGCAGGGCATCGGTGATTTTGTAATCTAACTTGAGCCTCTGGGAAATTTTCTTTGCTCTCATTCCACCTATATGCCATGAATGCGTCTTCATTAGTCTGTGCGCGTATAGATGTTGCATCTAACACTCATAAGTGCTGGCAGGAATAGAAAATATTTAGCAAGAGGAATTTTACTTCTTTCTTTGCTTATGGTTTGTTCTTGAACCGTCAAACATATCTTTCAATAAAAATAACTAATGTGTTTATTTTAACCAGAGCTGGGTAAGTAATTTGCATTAAAGAAATTACTCTATTCATCTTTTTTAGATCAGGCACAAGTTGTGATTTTCTCATTTGTACTTACTGTTCAGAAGGATTTACTGAATATTTTTTATGAATGAATTTGTTGGCAATTCATCCACAAACAGTTTGGTATGGGTATTAATTTAAACAATTGATTCTAATAGATTTCAATGTCCAAATATCTTTGATGACTTTGAAAATCTCAAGCTAATTAGTCAAAATCTGAGCTATTTCTTTTCAACAGGCAAATTGCCATCTTGCAAGACAACATCAACTTTAGGGTTGTTTTTTTCTGTGTTGTCTTGCTATTATAAATTGGAGCTGTGTTCTTCTGCAGTGTTCTGTATTATTCAGTGGTGTCACTAAAGTTAGTGGGAAATATGTTAAAATTTGTAATGCGAATAGGATTTTATCCATTGTTCTAGCAAACAGACAAGTCATCCAATTCCCTCACTAGTGTGCTGGAGGAAGTTTTAGTGTTAAACTATGACACAGTCAGGGTTTTAGTGTTAAAATATCAAGAGTAAATATCCAGGTAAAATATTTGACAATATCACCCAGCTCTAATCTGCACATTTTAAAGGTTGATCTTTCATGTCCCCTCAAGTTCTTTGTTCGCTGAGTCCCTGGATAAAGCACATGGAAAGTCAGAGGATATCTTATGTCATCACTATTTGTGTTAATGGCTTAGGAAACCCACAATCCAATCAGTTAAAATAAACAACCCAGTGTAATAGGAGCATAAATCAATGAAGACTTCATTACTGAAATCTTAATGTGTAATCCATCCACCTACAGAGGAAAGGGATACTGAGAGGCAGCAAGACAAAACCAGAGGACAGTCTGATTTAGGCAACCCTGATATTTAAAAAGGTGCTGAGAATAGTAACTCTTCCAGTAGTCCGTAAATTTGGTGGATACTCATCACTCCTGACAGCCTGCCCCTGACTATTAAGTCCCGATGCTAAAAAATGCCAAGAAATTCTTGGGAAGAGAGCTCTGATTGTTCTTTGTTTGCTCTGGGAGACTTGAGACAGCTCAGGACTGTGGAAGGATGAACAAAGATATGAATTAGAAAGATTAACATATGACTGAAACTATATGTGTTATAAAGAAATACTTCAGAAGTGCTCTGACCCCACTGCAGACTTTCTTCTCTGTGTGGTCCCTTGAACTAGTAACAAGAATTTGGACCCCTTCTCTAAGATGAGGGTGGCAATACTTGGTGAACTGAGAGTTACTAGATTTCATTAAAACCATGTATCCTGTTTGTCTTGTGTCTGAAGGAAGCAGTAATCCTATCATACTGAGCCTTTTGATTTCAACATGGTTCTGAAATGGCTGAACTTTTATGTTCTGTGCAGAGATATCTGCTTGTTGAGTTAATGTAGTAATGAACAGAAACAGCAAGCTCTCACTCTGGGCATGGGCCAGCTCTGAGATGGGGATCAGACAGGCACTTTTCCTGTGGATTTTTGCTAACAATAAAAGTAAGGTAAGTCTTTAGAGAGGTGACAGTGCTCAGAGACCCTCATCCCAAGTCCCCTGTTTCAGAAGTGATTCCTTGCCTGACTCCTCTTTTTTCCTTCCCTTTCCCCTGACTACATCTTGTTCTTCTGTCTCACTCCCCTGCTGATACACTTGTCCCAGTTGCTCACTTATGCCAGCATGAAATGTGTATTGAACAGTTAAAGTTTGGTAACACTGGTAATTGACCAAAACCAGTATGATGGGAATTCTGTTTTTCAGAGATTTGGAGTTTGTTTTTGTTAATAATTATGTTTTGTTTTGTTTTGTTTTGTTTTAATCAAAATCTAAGAATACATAATGTTAAAGATACAGAAGATAGAAAACATCAGCTCTAATGTGGATATTGCATACAGAAGATAACACATATAATTTACCAATACAGAAGATGTTTGATCTTCTAGCTGCCAAGCATCTTACAGGAATTCTGTGACAGAGGTGGAAACCTGATTCTCCAGGTTGACAGTGACCAGCTCTGACTGAAGACTGACCATTTTCCTTCTTCATTCCCATATCTCTCTCAATGCGTACCCTCCCCAGCTATAACAAAGGAATAAGAGCTATGATACTCAGCTCTGATTAGCTACACAATCCCCAGCACCATATCAGCTTGTGCGGTGACTTTAGCAGGGATCTATTTGAAAAAAAAAAAAGGTCTATTTACATTAATAGTCATTACTGCAGATCTGAATTAGTTTTCCCTAATATTCTTTCTAGAGTTTCTTTTTGCTAGGTGTTAGTTCTCAATTCCTTGCCTTAAATATTCAGTTGCATAATGTTAAATAAGTCAGAGAATGGTTGAATCAATTTGGCTGGTAAAATGATTCCATATATCCAGAATACATATTAGTAGGTTAAGTTTCTGAAGCACTTCAACATTTAGAAATATAGGAGCCATATATTTGTAAGACATTATCCTACTGTAGTAATTTAATGGAAGATAAAGTAATTCCATTATAGTTTATGTGATCCTGAGGTTCTTTAGGATCAAGGCTACACAAATGCAAGTTTTCTATTACATTGGCAATTTGTATTGTGTTGTATTGTATCTGCACAAAAATAAAGAGATCTAGAACTTAACCCAAATACCTCATACAGCAATACAGTCTGGTGATTAATTCTTCAGTCTCAGCAGTGAAATATGGTTGGAGAAGGGTTAGAGAGGGGGCCTAGTGTATCACACGGATGGTAGGTATCGTGTTCACTTCACCTCTAGTATAGTATATCTTATTTCCTCTAGTGCAAAATTTTAAGTGATTTTAAAACAGAATGTGTGATGTCAAGTTGTGGTGCTTACTTGGTTTTGATTAAGAATAAGTTTAGGGCATCTTTCTGCTCCCCATATTCCAGGGTTCCATGTGGTTGTAGCTGCAAAGCTTCAAAGAAAGGGGAATTTCCTTGTAAATGAGATTAATATAATTTAAAGGTATTCTTCTTCAACTGTCAGTAATAAGGGATGCTGTCATGGAAAACCACCCCACATTTAACATTTCTGTGTGATACAGAATTTCCTCAACTTTGAAGTAGCCAGATCAAACCACAAGAGAGATAATTTAGAATTTAGATGTGAATTCTGCAGAAATGCTATTGTGTATTAAATATCATGTACTATGATCAGTATGTCTGTCAGAGGCTTTTAAAATGTACTATCAATATGGTTCCACATATTCATTGGCCAGATGGCACAAAAAATACTCAGTATCCAAACAAGAATGTCAGTGCCTCATCACCACATAATGCACTGCAGCCCTGTGTAGCATAAATTCACTGTTCTGAATTGATCCCTAAATTTGGTGTGTTTCCATTTCAGAGCTCCTGTGACAAGGACGTCATCCAGAATATTCTCAGTGTCCTCACTGACCTGCTCTCTCTGGGTAAGGAAGCAGAGCTCTGGGGCAATACCTATGGGCTAGGGGCAGAAAGGGAATCCTCAAATAGGTCAGGGAATTTATATCTGCATAAGCTTGGACTTTACAAGGTGGATTCATACCTGCATAAATTGGGCTTTACAAGGTGAACAAAACATGAATTGTATCTGTAAATTAGCAGTCCTTACTGCTGTGTTTGGAAAACTGAGATTTTCAGTAAGTTAAAGAAAAAAAAAAAAAAAAGAAGACCTAGAGAAAGTCTCCATTTTTTTTAGTTTAAAAGATTTCTGTGAGATTCAAAATATTTCATAATCCCTGTTAGTCAGGCACTGGAAATATTAACCTGTGCCATTTGAGAGAGGGCTGTGAGACAGGGAGAGGAGCTTGACTTCCCAGAGCACAGGGACTTTAATGGAGAGAGTTCAGCATCTCCCCAAAAGGCACCTCTACCTCAGGGCTGCAGGGAAGGTATGTTGCTGCATGTGCCCGAGCCATGTGAAAAAATAAGTGAATTGGCAAAAGAACCGAAAAAGTAATTCAGCTTCTTTTCCTTCCTGCTCCACCTCAAAAATTTCATTTGCTAAACAATTGTCAACTCAGCTGAGCTGATAGGCTGCTTGCACTGGCACTCCCCACTTTTCAGAGCCCCACCACAGACATCGCCCATCCTGCTGGGCCTCTCTTCTGAAGCCCTGCAGTGCTGTTCCTCAGCTGGATGGAAGGACTGCCTACCTGGAGGATAGGAGCTACTCTCTCCTCTCCAGGAGCTGAATGTGCAGCTTCCTCCAACCATGGAGCCTGAAGTCACTGCTGAAGTTGCCCATGGATAGATGTTTGTTGGCACAGTAGGGCTCACAGGATTAGCGTGTGGTTTCTTTGGAGACCTAGATTTGTTTGAAAGCTGTCTCCAAAGCTTCCCTAGGATTCCTTTTCATTTGGCAGAAGCCCATTGCAGCTTTAGTCCTTTGCTTGTTTAATTTCCAGTATCTAAGAAAAGATCACTGAGCCTTCTGCTCCTTTGAAACCTGTTGGTGTCTCTGCTTATTCCCCTCTGCTGCATTTCAATGCACAATGAAAAACTTCTGCAGGATGTGGGTTTGTAAAGATAATGACTGCCGGAGCAAGAGGCAGCAGAGCACATAGTTTCACCCTGCAGCCATTAGCCATGTCTCCAAGCCAGGAGTACCTGAGATCCATGGTCAATTCTGCAAATGCCCTTGGGTTTATAGCAATAAAACACTGTTGGAAAGCCACGGGAGCTTTGTGTGCTCTGTGCAGGGTGAGGGTTTGCCATAGCTGTGGCTCAGGGAAGGGATGCTCTGAGCAGAGTCTCTCCTCTTTTCCCCAGGGACCGGCCGGCGAATTCACTATGTGATCAGCAAAGGAGGCAGTGAGGCACTGCTGCAGGCTCTCGCCGTCGCTGCCCGGACCGAGCCACCCGATCACAGCACCCTCCTGCCCCTGCTTCGCCTGCTAGCCAGGGTCGGCCAACGAGGTACTGCTGAGTGGTGGGGGACGTCTTGGGGGCGGGGGGGGCGGCTCAAAAGCAACAGACAGCCCCAGCAATAATCAGCACTGGGATGTGCCTGATAGAAAGCTGTGAGTTGATTTTTAGGGTTTGCTGTTTGTTTACGGTTTGGCCAGGTAAAGGTCCTGCAGCAAGGCAGGGAGGGCGTACATGTGTGTAGAGCTGCTTCTTACACAGGTTTTGTCCATGTTCTGCTTTGGGTTGGCCTTGTGGCTGAAAGCTCCCTCAGCAGAAATTTTACTTTGTTTTCCCTTAACCTAAGTGAAATCTTAAAATATGATTTCTCTTTGTCGGCCTGATTTGCTGCAGATGGCAGATCTTGGTATACAGGGGGGGTTACCTGAGACAGGGAGTGTTAACTGAGGCAGAGAAATACCAGGGCAGTGGAGAGACCCACCAGGAGCTGGCAGCTCTTGTGGGAGAATTGGACGGATGGAACCATGCTCTGGCCCCCCTGAGACAGAACCAGGAACACTCATCAGGAAAAACACAAGATCAAGAGGATTCTGTATCCTCCACTCAGCCAGCAGAAGGCAGTAGCTTAAAGAAAAGGAATGGAGACAAGTCTATGCTCAGAGCGGTAGGCGAACCCCCTCCTTGTCTACATCACCTTCACAGGTGCCTCTGTGCAACAGGAATGAGGTTCTAGATGTGTAAGATCAGTCAATGGATGATGTGGAGGATGGTTCATCTACACCAGAGGTGTTGCCAAAATCAGAAAGACCTACTCCCCTGTATCATAACCACCTCCACAAAGAAAAGATGGGTTATAGTTGTAGGTGACTCCATTCTGAGGGGATCAGAGGGTCCAATATGCCAGACAGACCCTCCCCTTAGGGAAGTCTGCTGTCTTCCTAGGGCCCAGGTTAAGGACAGCACTAGGAATCTTCCTAGCCTGGTGCAGCCCTCAGACTAGTATACATTATTGTTCTTCCATGTGGGTGGTGTTGAAGCCACAACACATAGTCCAAGAGTGATCAAAAGAGACTTCAGGGCCTTGGGACGGTTGGTAAGGGAAACTGGGGCACAGATAATTTTTTCCTCTATCCTTTCAGCTGTGGGCAGCAATATTAGAAGAAACAGATGGACTCGGTCCTGCTGGTGTTGGATGGGGTTCATCTTTCTCAAAAGAGGAAGAGGGTCTTTGCTTATGAGCTACTGGGGCTGATTGAAAGACTTGAAGAGGGAGGGGGATAATATCAGGCTAGCCCATGACAAGCTGTGGGATGACACATCAAGGTTAGAGGGATGGGATGCTAACAAGGGCCCTCAGTCTGTTGCCCTGAGTCTTGCTGGGTACACTAAATTCCACTAGAAGTCTTGTAGAGAGGAGCCAGGAACTTCTGAGGTAATAGGAGCCAACAAGGAAACACTGGTGAAATACCTCAAAGGAATCAAGGGGTGTTCCTCTAAAAAGGGCACACGGCCAATAGCCCAGCCAAAATGCCTCTACAATAATGCACACAGCATCAGCAACAAACAGGAGGAGTTGGAAGCCAATGTGCTGCTAGAAAGCTATGACCTAGTTGCCATTACTGAAACTTGGTGGGATGAATCTCATGACTGGGGTGTGGCTATCGATGGCTACAAGCTGTTTAGAAGGGACGGGTAAGGAAGGAGGGGCAGAGGGGTTGCCCTCTATGTCAAGAAACAGATTATGAAAAGTTGTCTCTGAAGAATAGCCATGACCATGTTAAATACAGGCTGAGGAATGAAGAGATTGCGAGCGACACTGCCAAGAAGGGCTTGGGGGTACTCGTGGATGAAAAGCTGGAGTTGAGCCTGCAATGTGTTCTTGCACCCATGAAAGTCAATTGCATCCTGGGCTGCATCAAAAGAAGCATGGCCAGCAGGTCAAGGGAGGGTATTCTCCCTCTATTCCACTCTGGTGACACCCCACCTGGAGTACCATGTCCAGCTCTGGGACCCCCAGCACAGGAAAGACATGGACCTGTTGGAGCAGATCCAGAGGGGGCCACAGAAATGGTCAGAGGTGTGGAACACCTCTTCTATGAGGAAAGGGAGAGAGAGTTGGAGTTGCTTAGCCTGGAGAAGGCTTTGAGGAGACCCTATTGCAGTCTTTCAGTACTTAAAAGGAGCTTATAAGAAAGGTGGAGACAGACTTTTTAGTAGGGCCTGTTATGATAGGACAAGGAGTAATGGTTTTAAATGAAAAGAGGGTAAATTCAGAGCAGCTATAAGGAAGAAGTTTTTTATGATGAGGGTGCTGAAACACTGGAACAGGTTGCCCAGAGAGGTGGTAGATGTCCCAACTCTGGAAACATTCAAGCTCAGATTGGATGAGGCTCTGAGCAACCTGACTGAGTGGAATATGTCCCTATTTATTGAAGGGGGGCTGGACTAGATGACATTTAAAGATCCCTTTCAACCCAAACCATCCTATGATTCTGTGATTTGTGTATGATGACTTTAGGCAAATCCCATGTTTTCCTGTTTTCAGTGAGAATAATATTGATGTTACTCTTTGATACATTTAAATGTTTCTGTTTTGAGATCTTGAGTTATAAGGTTTGGTGCAAATATGTTTATCAGCACTGTGGCAGAGACCTGGTCTTTGTAATAGTTTGATTCTTGTTTACTTTTTACAGATAGGAAGTTTGGGCTGAAAGTGCAGAAGGCAGAAGCAACTGATATAATACTGAGCTTGGCAAGAAGAAACCTGGGCCATCACCTGTACCTCACTCACTGCCTCTGGGTCCTGCAGGTTTGTGCTTCTAATGGTGAGTGCCTGGATTTTCCTCTTTTCCTCTATGTGACAGCTGCCAGAGTTCTTTTTCAGTCATTTCAGTGCAAAAACCCATCATTCCTAAGGTACGTGCCTGCACGTACTGTGAATATACAGAATCAGGCACAAAAGCCAGAACGACCATATAGACGTGCTCCCCAAGGGGCTTATACAGCCTTTACAGTGTATTTCATCTGTGCACTCTGAAAATAGAAGTGCTGTAGTGAAAAATATTCATGGCAATGGTCTCCTATTCTAGAATATAGACAGTCAACTCCTTTGCTCTGGTACTTAGGTACCTTAAGTCTCTATGCTATTACCATAATAGCAAAACGTCTCACTATTGTTGATTGTATTGATTGTCAGAGCGGCTCTATGAGGAAGGAAAATATGGGTGGAGAAACAGAGGGAGAGAGAAATCAGTTAATCAATATCCCTAAGGAAGTACATATTAGATCCCGGTCTTCTGTCTAGTATCCCTCCCCACACTCTCCCAGCTTTTCTTGCTTGGCAATGCCCTCATATTAAATTATTCAGGCAATGGGATTTTCAGTATTCTCTCCCAGGATCATTACAGATTCATACAGGCTTTCTCTGCTATAGAGCACTGAGTTTGTCAGCACAAATTTCCCTTTGCTCATTCTAACCCTTTCCTCTCCTTCCTCACATCCCTCACCCAGCAGATAATTCTTGACGGCCATCCTGTCTGCAGACTGCTATATGCATCCTAAGATTTAGCACCCTGGCACCCAGCCCTGCAGGTCCCTTCTATCTGTACAGGAGCTAGCTTCATGCAATGGGCTTTCTCAGGCAAGCAGCCAAGCCTCAACATTCAACCCCTCTCCGTGTGATAAGCAGTGTTTGAAAGGCTGAGTGTGACTGAAAACGCAGCCAAGGCCAGGAGCTGAAACGTGCCTTTATTTGGGTTTCACAGCTGTGTAGTGACCCTGTGCTGCCTCCCACCCAAAATTATGATCTACACACTTCCCTGCTCCCTGCTTCAGTGCACCTGCATCCCAATTCAGCTTCAGTTTTTGCAGAGGTTTTAGGATGCCCACTGCAGCCTGGCCTCCTTTCTGCTAATATCAGACGCCAGAACCTTACCTCTGCTCCTTTGCTGGAGCATCTCTGTTACTCTCCAGGTATCTCCAGAACTCTCCAGGTGTGCTTCCCCCTTCCACGAGTAACTTTGACTCTGTGGGCTCTGTGACCCAGCTGGGAAGCTGCAGGGGCAATTAGGTGAAGATCTTTGTGGTGATGGTACCAAACTAGGAGATTACATGCTCCCAACCTTAAAAATTATCTTTATAGATTGGAACTAAAGAGGATCCAGAAGCATATAAACCTCTGAGGGTGTTTAGGCATGAAAGCAGAACAGATGAGTTCTTGTCACAATCTCATGCACCAGTTCTTTGCTCTGGGTCGCTCCCTTCACAATCTGCCACCAGTTGTGTGTGGCAGCCTACGTCCCGCTCTGGCGCAGGAGGATTTCAAGCAGCCTTGTCCACCACCCTGTCTCTAATGAATTATCAGCTAGTGTGAAAGTAGCTGGCAAGCCTTGCAAAGCTTTCCATCACAGGACAAATTGGCGGGGACATGGTAGGACTGCAGGAGATGATGGACCCTCTGGCAGCTCTCTGATGACCACTGGAAGATATTTGCAAAACAGCCAAAACCCAGCAGTGGGCAGGCAGCCAGGTCTCCCTCTGGCTACTGCTGATTACTGATCCTTTCACCCTGTTCACTTGCATTTAATATTTCAGGGCTGTATTCATCCCTTCTTTACACAGAGATCCTGTCTTATAGAGGAGAGGTCTGGCTAAACACCTAGTTTATGCATTGGGCATTTTTGGAATCGATTGTAAAATTTATCTATAAAAGGTCCTAGTGTGTTAACAAGTGAAGGTTTAAAGGTAAAATTGGACCAGCTGAAATTAAGCTGCATTCAGAAGCACCCCTGCCTTCAAAAACCACTTTCATACTGCTGAATAATAGCACAGAAAGAAAACTCTCCCCTCCATGCCCCTATGAAATAAGCTGTCCTCATGGAGTTGCCTGTGGGAAATATGGGATGAATGTGAGCCCTGTCATTTTTTCTGGGAGATGACCCTATTTAACTATGTTTTGTTCTCTGGGGAGTACATTATTTACAGGAGAAGGGGCTTTGGGGAACTCATGGAAGAACTGCAGACCTGGATTTGTATCTGATCTTGGCTCAGGTTGTGTCCACAGACAGCTTTGTGCTTGTCTGTAAAATGACCTGTGAAGTCCAGTTGTGAGCCCAGAGAAATCTGCTCATAGCCCCAGGGGCAGCTACTCCCTTACACGCATCACCTCTAAACACAGTGTTGCAGACCACCTGCTTCAGATCTGACTGCTTTTTTCTTTTATTGACTTAGTTACCACAGGAACTACGCTTGGCGTCAATGGAGCCATGGAGCTGCTTTTCAAAGTCATCACCCCCTACACCAAGAGACACGTCAGGACAGTCAGGTAGGCAGTAGCCCCAAGGGAACTTATCTTTCCAGGATAGCAAGAAATAAAATTTTGGTTCCACTTGAAGAGGCAAAGAAATCAGAAATGGATGCACAATTTCCACTCACTTTAAATCTGCAGGGTTTTTTAAGAGGCAGAAATAGTTCCCTGAAGGACAGGTTAATGCCATGATTCACCATATGATTCATGCTGCTGACCATTTATTTCTCATGTACCCTACACAGTGATGGCAATTTGATTGCAAGATATCTCCCTTCATTTCCCAGTCAGGACTGGATTTTGAGAAGCATGTGCTGGCAGCAGACAAACTGCTCCTGCCTATCCGTTAGCAAGAATCTCCTGCCACCACTGGCCTGAGGGCAGGTACAGTGGAATCATGGTAGTGCTGCCTCATCCTCCTTTTGCAGACAGTTGTCACCAGATTACCATGATATTTTTGAAGTATGACAGTTCTTACTAGTATTAATCTGAGTCTGTATTTAAACTCATCCCAAATATTTCAAATAGTTTTTTTCTGAAGACAGCAAGTCCATTTTGTACCTCCATTTTAATGCTGAACATTAGTCCCCAAGTTGTCCATTCTGACCACTTCCTCAGATGCCTTTCAAGGCAAAATTTATAATGTGGAAAACATCCACAGAAGGACATAACACGTTTCTGTGGCTTGCTCATTACAAACAGGAGGAAGAATTTACTGCTATGAGCTGTGCTGACCCAATCACATTTGCCTAAGCAACACAGAATTTGCCAGTTCTCTTGCTTAGACATGCAATGCCTTGTGGAGCACATAGACCCTACTTGTTCACACACATCTCAGCAAGGACATGGCAACGTTCAATCAATTTTGGCTTCTGCATGGACCTGACATGCGTGAAGTTCATGGCTGATGATTACTGAGGAAGTAGCTTTAGGTTGAATGTCTCCTGTAGGTGAGAAGTGGATGGACAGACGTGACACAACACTGACCACTATTTGCTCGGCTGTGTTTGAAGTGGAGGCCAGTCACTCTGGATGAGGGCACCAGTAAATAAAGTCCATACTGCTGTTACCATCAAAGACTGATACCACTTCTCCCAATATTACCATTTACACACTACATTGTATTAGAAGGAGTTTGAATTAATTTCCACTAGCCATAAGTGATGAACTTACATGTAAACACATGGTATTGTTGTTTGCTAAACGCAGCATTCTTCCAGTTCTTCTGCCTACATGTCTGGGACTATAAAAAAAATTTGAACAGTTTGCTTTGCTAAATAGGATACTGAGTGGGCCCAGCAGTCGCACAACTTCCTGCAGCTGCCTTGTTAATGGAAGCCAACTCACTTTTGCCTGCATTTTTGGCTTTCTAGTATAGTGCCAAGTACCTGGAACTGCTTCACAGCTTCAGTGCTCTCTTTGCCAGAGTACCTGTGATTTCTCTACATGGTCTGTCCAAAAGTAGGATATCAGAATGTTTCCTACACAGAGGTTTGGATATTACCCAACTCAAAGAATATTACGACTAGGATATTATTCTTAGGATTTCTGAGCATTCTCCAAGATTCCCCTCAGGCCTCATGTTATAACCTGAATCTTCAGGATTCAGGGAGCCTTGAGAACTGCTTTGTGTGTGACGGGGGTGTCCAGGATGAGTTAGATCCAGAGTTAGGCTTGATTTCTGAGGCAATCAAAAGTAACCGATAGGTCCATGACTGTGCTTAACTAAATAAGCAAATTCCACTCAATTCCCTGGTTTCCTTCCAATGGACGTGTTAGCTGTGATTAGACTAGCGTTAGTTCTACTTCTGTGATAGCCTCATAGGTCAGGATCTGTGTGTAATGGGACTTGGGCCTGTATCAGTTCTCTGTTAAGCAATGGGACTGACTACATAAACACTATTTAAATGAATTTTGTGTAAAGCTGCTTTTACCGTTCACTGTTTTCTCTGAGGGAAGTGGAAAACTTGGTATCTGTCACACATTTCTAGCCTGGATTTTTGCTGAGATTCGTTTGGAAAAGCAGCTAGTGCTGCTGAGTGTGGTTGTAATATACACTGCAGTCTAGAATAATCACTTCTAAGCAGAAAGGGAAAGAAATAGCCTTCAGATAAACACACTGCTTTTGATTCCAATGATTCCAGATTGTCAATGTGCAATATTTGTTTTTTATTTCCTTTTATCTGATGTACAAGAATTGTTTTGAACTCTTCTGTGGATGGTTTTTTCCATTGGGAAACACACACACACACACACATCAGAAAATACAAACTCAAAATTTCCCTCAATAAAACTCTAGTTTTATTGTTAATAAGTAATTTTATTTATTGCTGAAACTTTTGGATTTGTTTCCATTTGAAAAAAGGTATCTTGTACATTAATTATTGTCTACCTGAACTTCCTCATTGCTTGTGCAATTTTCTAATTTACTTTTATTTCCTAAGGTATTTGTACACTTCTTAAAACATATTTGTATGAGTGTGCAAATGGAGGATAAAACCTTTCCTGGGACCTAGCTTACAGAAATAGGTGATTTGACTCCTACCTGTACTTGGCTTAACGAGCAAGAACCATAAATCAGCTGAAGCCTGGTAGCCACTCAGCTGGCCTGCCTGAGGCTCAAAGCTGCTTGTTTCATTTAATAACTAGAAGCAGCTGAGAAGGTCAATGGCTCAGTGGAGACAGCCTGTTTTACATCAGAAGCAACACACAAACCTGTTTTGTTTTAAAAAATGCTTGCAGCCTATTTGAAGGCACCAGTTTCTTAAGATTTAGTAGGAATTATGTTTGCTTACAGTCCATTTGGAAACTGCTCTTACTGGGAAAAGAGCTTCAAGAGATGGTATTTATGAGAGTTTAGGTCCTGAGACCAGAAGTCCAGACTGTAGAGTGGATTACAGATCATCTTTGCCAGCGTTAGTGAATGCTTGGGATAGCTATGGTCTGGAAATCTCAAGCATCTTTACAGTTCATCAGGAAAATGAAGGTGGGTATGTGTGGAAGCGTTATTCTATATTTTGAGCTGCTGTAGTTAAAAAATTGTAGAGTGACTGGAGGAAAAAGCCTATGGATGAGTTTTCTGAGATGGGGAGAAAGACTAGAAAAGGGTTATGTGCTTTATCTAGTTCAGTATGTGCTCCTGGTATAGCTCTTCCCAAAGTTGCTATAGTTATGCTGAAATCTGGAGTCAGTTATTTTGGTGTAGTTAGTTGGTCACAAAAACATCTGCTTCTTTCTGGCTGTCAGTATGGAACTCGAAGAGAACACTAGTCTGTAACCTGCCTATGGAGAAAAACTCCGATGTCCTCCCAGCAAGATTCTGATCCTCCCTTTGTATTCAGTCTTGATACCTTCTCTCCACTTCATAACTATGTGCCACCACAATTTGCCTTGTTGCTGGGAGAGAACAGCTGGCAACTGCGGGGGCTGAGATTACCCTTATTCTTTGATCAGCTGCCAGGAATGCAACATCGAAAATGCATTGCTTCTCTCGTGGGTACACCCGCATTCTCCTATCCTGGGCAGCAGCAGGACCAAGGTCACTTTAAGAATCTGTCCTGGAGAATGCACTATGAGAGCTATTTATTTAGCAAGCTAAGATGAGGAAACAAGATACATAGTTCTATTTATTTTTCTCAGTGTCAAAGCTCAGGTTTATTTAGAAATAGTCTCCCATGCTCCAATTGACCTCTTCTGGGTGCGTGCCAAGTAGCTCTGATTCTCCTGCGACTGTGACTCATGGACTTTATTGGTCTTAGGCATTTGAGATCTTCAGGTTGCTGGTGCCATAATTGCGTAGATCTCTCCAGGACTACCTCTATCTGAAGTGAAAACCACATGAAAAAGAGTGACACTTACTGAGGTTTAGAGAACTCTTGAATTTAGCACTGTGAAATCCAAGTGAGATGGAGTCTTGCCTATCTCTCATGAGGCTGTGCTGCAGAGAAAGCTTTCTGATACACTTTATAGGGGCAGTTTAAAATAAAGCCAGATAATGTTCTGGTTTTCTCAGTTCTTTTTATGTCAGTAGCTGGGATATCTGATATGAGTTTGTGTGGGATGCTCAAACATTCCCTCCATCAACACCTTCTCTAATGCAACATCCCTGATGCCCCACACAGTGCAGTGATCCCTGCTCCTTTCACCTTCTATCTTACTTATTGTGTCCCATATCTTCTACCTTTCTACTTTCCAATGCCCCTTTCAACACCTTTGCTCGTTTTCTCAACTTATTGGTTCTAAGAGCTATTTGAACATGGTGTAGGCAGCTGGATGTGTAATGTGACAGTGGCAGATGTTTGCTCTCTATTCAGTTGGGTCTCTTCTGTATGACTCTGTCTCCAGGTGACTAAGCATCAATTATCCTCTGCAGGCTGCCAGCATGTCAGGCTCTGGAGGCTGTATGTTGTCTGTGGCTACATGTTGTGCAGGCCTCTTCTACATTCTTTCATATGAAGAAGACCTGTGTTTTAGAAAATAGCAAATGATGGTATGAAATCATGTCTGAGTTATTCCCTCCATTACATTATCTCTTTCTGTTGTTAAAATGTTGGCAGACAGTCTTATTTATGCAATTTTATTAAAAGCAATTTAGGGTCTTTTAAGATGTCTTTGTTTCTGAAGGCTCTTTGAGTACATCTATTTACCACACAGAGCAGAGCTTGCTGATGTTAAGTGTTCACATAAACCTCATGTGAGAGATTGCAGTAAGAATGAGTATTTGTCAGAAATAAACCCCCTCTTTCTGTGAATATTCACAAAACTTGGCTTTCTGCACTAGGTTGTTCCAGTAAAGTTTGACTACTTAATTAAAAGTGGAAAGCGAATAAAAAATGTCTGGGAATGATGCCAAATTAATTCACTAGAAAATGTGATATGTAGAAATTATCTGCCTTTGCTCATGTCTAGCATTGTCCACTTCTCACATCTGATCACAATTCTTCTTATGTTTGGTACTTATTGGATGGTCCCAGCTCCTTAAACACTTGCCAGTAATCTCCCTTTCCATTAAAGGGAGG